TAACCTTTTCGCTCAGTTTGATCTGCACACGACGATAGATGTCGTCAGTACAGTTCATCCACCATATCGGTTATCATTTACAAATCTTCTTTAATTAATATCACAGTAGTTAATGCGACAATCGTAAAACGGTATAGGATTTTTGTTCACCTCAGTCCGCCTCGGCCTCACGAAAAATTGTGAAGTCGAACTGAAACACTATATATTTCTGATAATATATATATATATATATATATATATATATATATATATATATCTTTCTTTTTCTTCCCCCTCTCTCTCTCTCTCTCTCCCTCTCTCTCAGTTCCAAAAATATAAATTGCACATACGAAAGAATAAAATGTCAATCTATTCCTTGATAATAAAATGTTATGTGGTACACTAAGAGAAAAATTATATTAAAATCAACAAATATCTCCTTGATGGGTGCCATTAACATATTTATTTAAATCTACATTCTCTTTATTTAAACCAAATATTATTTATTTAAATCAGGTAAACAATATTCGATTTAAACAAAGAGAACATAGATTTAAGTAAATATGTTAATAACACCCATCAAAGAAATATTTGTTGATTTTAATATAATTCTTCTTTCAATAGCTTTTACTATAACATTCTCTCCGTGTAATTCAATCTAGTCTAACCTGATCTAATTTAACCTGATTTGCTGTAACGATACTCGCGCGTTAGAGGATACAATAATCATCCCTCCGTCCAATACTCCAAATCTCCCGGCGCGCCGTTATCAAAAGATATCGCATTAATCCCGCGTGATTCCCTCCGAACGATCGACGCGGCGCAGAAATATCGCGGGGCGCACGGGAGCAATTCCTAAAAGCAATATCTCCGTGAACGTCGCCCTGTCTGAATCTCCAAGCACTCGGAGGGAGGGGGGGGAGAGGGAGTTGGCATCGCATGAGCGATTTTCCATTTTACATTTCACTCGACCGAGTCGACGGAGAGTCCCAGGGAAACGCCACGCGACGTCGGGCACCGTGTAACTTCGCGAAACAACAAAATTGCTCGGTCTCACTCCCCCCGTTCGCCCATCCCGCCGCTGCTGGTTTAGCGGCCACCCCATGCGACTACCCTCCGCCTCCTCCTCTTCCCCTGCCCCGCGCACGCCTACACCGATCTCGCACCAAGCGGGAAAAGTTCCGCAAGTTGCTCACACCACCTTGGCGCACTTTTCCGTGCCGCAAATCCGATCCCACGGGCGCAGCAAAGTTTTCGAGGTGGTTTCACCCCCTTCGCCGGCTCGCCGCGCACCCCTTTGCCGGGTCACGACCGGCCGCGAAACAAGCGAGCCGACGGTCGTGTCGTGTGTCCGGGGGAAAATTATTTATAAACGTCAAAACAGCAGGCCGCAGCCCGCTTCGCGAGAAGTTGCTGCGGCGTGAAGGGAATTTGCTCACTCCACACGCCACAACGAACATCCCTCGCGGAATTTTCACGCGCGCGCGCGCGCCAAACTTTGGCGCGCCGTTCGGCGGGACGTGATTAGTCGGCGACGCGGCGCGAGCGGATAATTTACGAGTGAAATAACGGATTCGCGAAGGAGGAAAGAGCAGAAGAAAGGAGGCGAGAGCAAGCTGGGGCTGTCGAGAACGGCGCGACGCGAAATATCGATGAACTTCTGATCGGAGGGGAGGCAATTTTCCGACGTCTCGTAACGGTCCTTGAATTTAGATACGAGCGCGTGTGTCTCCGCCTAAACAGTAATCCACGTGTGTGTCAGCGTAACACGCGGCGAATAAATCCGCCACGAAAGTTAAATGAAAGAGAATCGTCGAAATTACAGGAACGCAAAACGCACGAGCGTAAAGAATAACGAACTCTCATGGAAAATTCACGTTCTCCATTATTCATAGAAGATAGACATGTCATACCGGCGTTTCATAAATTCAGTCATTTTCATAAACCACTGCGGGGAGGCAACAAATTTTATTTTATACAATTTCGGGAAATTACACGCCGCCGCGCTCGCGTGTATAAAATATTACGGCCCTCCGCTACGCCGTCCCGTAGTCCCGTGCCCGTTTATTTATGTCGCGAACGCAAATGCGAGACAAGTACGGAATTTGTTACGTCGTTGCATTACGGCCAGATGTTTATCTGCGATAAAACAGTATCGAGGTGTAGTGTCGCTCTATATATGTCAGTCCGTCCGTCCGTCCGTCGTGCACGTCGAGCGCAGCGCCGGCATTATGTCGCGAGTGTCTCTCTGTCTCGCTCTCTGTCTCTCTCTGTCTCTCCTTCTCCCTCGACATACACCGTGCAACCAGGTTCATATACAGAAATCACACACACACATACACACACACATATTTCTTCGTGGCCCGTAAACATACATGCCGTCCTAAATCATAAACTCGTCGCGACACGTCCGTGGGAGTATTTTGTCCGGTAGACCGTAACAAATACCGTATACATTACCGTATATACATCCTCCTCGCGCGACAGAGCCATACGGTGCGATCTTCGGCCCTCCCGATCAAATGGTGCGCGCAACCCTCCGGAAGAGTCGGAAAAATAGCGCGAATGTTGCCTATTTTTTATCACCATCCGCCGCACTGAAAAAAAGCTTTGGTAATAACCATCAAGTCTGGACAATAATTACCAAATGTGCTTTGGTGGAATAGTTTCAGCTACACTGAAACAAAAATTTAGTAATATTCAATCAGCTTTGATAATAGTTACTAAATGTTTTGGTGAAATTTCAATTTGGTGAAGTTTCAATTTAATATATAGTTAATATATAACTAAATAATTTGGTATTAGCAAATAGCTTTCCAAGGCGCTTGGTATCTGTTACTAAGGCTTGGTAACTGTTACCATCTTATATGGTACGTATCACCAAACAATTAAATAAAACCATATTATTTTGTTTTTTTTTTTCACTAAATTAAACTGACGCAATATTTTAGAATAGATCTTTTACCAAATAGTTTGGTAATTATTATCAAAATATTTGGTATTAATTGCCAAATTATTTGATTAGATCAACTAAGTGAAGATTTTGTCTTACTACTTAATTTGTAATTATTATCAAACAGTTGGTAACTATTATATTTACTCATTACCAAATATCGTATTATTTACCAAACCATTGAACTGTCTCAACCAAAAATGAAGGATTTATTTTATTAATCATTTTGTAACTATTACCATGTTCGTGATACTAATTACCAAATATTGCACTATAATGCTTAACTAAATACATTTGCTAATTATTTTAAAATTTTTTTAGTGCATATACGGTCGTTGATTGAATACATTGAGAAAAAATACTTGAAAATTTATTTCTGTGGAATATGAAGTACATTTACACAGAAATAAACTTTACTTCACCGAAATATTAGTCAATATTGTGTCTCGACTATGCATGTATTCCTAAGTTGAAATTTTAACCTTACTTTCAAACCTAAACTTTCTAACATTTATATATTCTGAAAGATTAGCATATATTTAATATACATAGAAACAAAAAGCCTATTTAGCGCCTCTAAACGATAAAAGACCTCTGGTAGAAAATGACGCACAGAGTGCCACACTGAAAAAAAAATTAGAAGATGTATTTATGTAAAATTAAAATTTATTTCCCAGTAATAATCTTTCTTTCACAGAAATAAACTTTATTTCACAGAAATAAACTTTACATTTATAAATATTTTTTAAGTATATTTTTTCTCAATGCTCGTGTGTATTCTAAAGAAGACCACCACCAACCAAGGTTGCTGCTTAAATACAATAAAAAAAAAAATTGATACAGATTTTAGAATATCAAAGCGCCAGAGATGTCGCTTCCGAACATCTCTGAGCGTTATCTAGGGAGAGGAAAGTGTCATGAGCGTGAAGCGTCAGGTAGTTCAATGGTTAGTTTTCGCCCGGCAAGCGAAAGACCCGAGTTCGAGTCTCGGCCTAGCAAAACCGCGTTCTCGATATTTTTCTCTCTCTGGAACGAAAAAAATACGCAGATCTCGAACGCATGGCGTTCCCGCCGCCACCTAGTACGCCCTCCTCCTTCTATGGGGTTCTAAATTTTAGTTCTGCTGACTAAATCGGTCTCTCGGCCGTAGGGACACTCCACGCGACAACCCAGATACCCTTCGCCTTAATTCAGGCCTGACGCGATACTCTTTACTCGTAGATTTATGTCGAGCCGACTGGAACCGTAAATAGATGTTCTTTTATAGACTATGAACAGGTGTTTCGCGAATCATAAATGTGCGCGTCGTCCCGTAAATCCGTGAGTGCACGCGCGCGCGCGCGCGCGCGCGCGTTCATTCTCGCGCGGCCGTAACACACTCACACACGTGTGTACCTCTTTGTCCCCGTAAATCATAAATTTATGTTCTTGTCGACTGTAAACATATCGCACATTTCGCGAGCCTCGGCGAACGGACTGCCCGTAAACTGCGCGTGTGCGGCTATTCGCGTATCGGCCGTTTTACTGCGCCGGAAATTTTCCATGAATTAGACGCAATTAGCGCAAAAATCGCCGCCGCGCTATGAAATCCAGCCGACGCAATTATTTTGCGAACGCTCGTGACATGAAATGCTTGAGAATTTCTCCCTGTTTGATTTCGTCGTTTAACCTCCTATTGCGCTCGCATAAAGCAAACGTTCAATTGGAATTTCATTTTCTAATCATATAAAGGTGGCTTAATAACAGTTGATTTTGAAATTTCCCTGACTTTTCATTTACAATCTTTTAGATATTTGTATGATAATTTTCTTAGTATAATTTTATTAGTGTAATTTTTGATAATAGACATCAATCGTCCATTGCTTTCGTATGAAACGAGCTCACTCACACACAATGGAAATTTTATTTTTTAATTATATAAAAGTAGCTCTTTACAGTTGCCTTTGAAACTTTCTAGTTTTTTATTTACAACCTTTTATACTTATATTACATATAAATATAACATACTTATATTTATATTTACATTATATTTATATAGCTATTTTCTTAATTTTGTTAGTGTATAACTTTTATTAATACTCTGGGAAGTGCTCATCGCGAGAGCAAATACATGAGGTTGATGCGACTCGTGCTGATGGATCAATAATAAATCATTGTTTTAATGCATCTACTCGTTTTTATGAAGCCGTAATAATGCAGCAATAATTAAATTTTCATTTAAATTCAATTAATAACAGGCGTTTCGCTCATACGAGAGCACGTTCATCCGAACGTGGGCAATGGAGGGTTAAGAAAGTTCCAGCGCTATACTCTCTAGTCAATCAATATTTTATTAATAAAATTGCTTAAAATGACTAAAGAAATTATTTTGCAACAATATTATTAAGGTTAAATTCGTAAATGTCACAATATGTAATTAATCAAATAATGTGTTTTTTTATTTTTAAAGTTATTAGGTATTTTAAAAGTGACAAAATAAATGTTGCAAGGCACTCATTTGAGGTCAGTATCAATTGTAAAAAAAGAAATGTGAATATAAAATGTACATGTTATTGTATTTATGATTAATTTCATTTAATTTAAATTGAAGATGCATAGAGATACTATGTTAAAATGAATCATAAATACGGGGTATTTTAATAAAGATGAGCAGTCTCTTAAAAACATACAGATCTGATGAGAAAATAACTCTACAAGTTCATGTAAAATTTCTCCCCGCAACGCACTCTTGCTGATATATTCGCCTCCAAAATGAGGATCTGAAAAGCATTTCCGAAAAGTAACTCTTATGTTAGCAGATTTTTATGATAGTCTGTGTATCATTTTTATACTAAGCGAAGATGGCAGGAATAGCTTGATATACTTTTACATTACATCAGGGAGCAAACCTCTAAGCTTCTTAATTTCTAAACTTTTAAATAAGTATGATTTTTTAATTCATACCTTTTACTTGACGATTCTGCTCTCGAATCTCCACTTAGAGTCGGTCGAGACAATCGTGACATGCGAGGGAAAACGTCGTCGAATAGAGTACTTCTCAGTGCGACGCGAATCTGCTCTTCATAATACGGTCAATCGAAATAATTGATGATTAAAAATTCAACATGAGAGTTATCAAGCGATAGTCGAAAGATATTGCGATGTGCATGTGTGTGTGTGTGTATGTGGCGCGTCCATTTAAAATTAATATCGTCCAATGTCTCATTAATTATCTTCGATTGAGCAAACTAATCTTGCGTGCTGTAATCCACGTATCCGGTAACAGTGCGATTTCGCAGTGGGAAATGTCCAGCGCGCCGACGCGTACCTCATTCTGCTTTTGCGAGTCCATATCTCTCGGCGAGCCCTGAAATCGAGGACCGCCCGGGCGAATTTTCGGCATTCCGATCGGACGGGGCGCTCTAACCCAAAAGTTTCGCGGCCGAAGTTGGCCGGGACCGGGCGCCGTTTCCGGTCTGATGGCACGCCGTGGGCCATTGACCGCGCGTTCATGAACAATGAGCCCCGTGACATTTCAAGCCACGGCTCTTTACTTCCGGTTTTACGAAGCGCCCACGCTCTCCGGAGGTCAATTGTGTCGTTCGCGGGAAAATCGAAGGATGCACGACGTATTTCGGCGCCCGCCCGCCGTAAACCACTCGCCTCGACCACTTAATCCTTCGGGATTGCTTTTCACATCCACAGTCGCGTTGGATTGTTTCCTGCAAAATTATCGATAAATATATATCGTATCGATTAATTTCGCGTCACCTCAAAATTGCTTTTCATGTCCGCAGAGTCGTGCAGAATTGTTTTCTGCAAAATTATCTACAAATGTGTCTCATATCTGCATTAGTTAACCTTTATCCGGGGCCTCGAAGCCATTTCTCTAGTATATTGAATAAAATTCGTAGTTTTGCTGTAAATAGTTTACGAGATAACTTATATTTTGTATTGAACAATGACAGAATAAAATGTAAAATATCTCGGGAAGCATTAACCTTGACAGAGATTTTGAACGTCATTCTAAGTTCAAGTAGATATTACTATCTTCTTTCCCCTCGATATCCTGTAATTTTTGTTGGAAACACTTTTTTATTCTTTCTTAAATTCTTTCTGAAATTCAAGCTGCAAATAATTAAGTGAGCTATCCTGTATATGATTTAATGTTCTCAAAGAAAACTGTGGAAATTAAATATATCTTGAATATTTCCAAAAAATGTATTTTAAATTTGAAAATGCGCTTTAAATATCTTCAAGATATGTACCTTGAATTTTTAAATATGCTTTAAATATTTCCAGGGCTATTCCCGCTTTTTTACATCTTTTCCTGTGTGATTTAACAAATATAACTTCTCTGCATAAGGGAATCACATCTCCCCAAAAAATGAACTTACTCAATATTCTTTCCAAATTTTTCATCTTAGTAAAAAGGATTGATCCTTAACAAGCAAAATTGAATATTTGTAATTAGCCAAGACGAGTTGTTTCCAGTTCATACTGAGGTAACGCACATATCGTGATGCCACGTATTATGCGAGGCGGCCGACGAATACGTCGAACTCGCGAAGCCGTCTGTCACGGGAATTTAATATCGGATAAAGTGTCCTCCAATCGTAAGTCTCGCTGGAGGGATTTCGCGAGGGGAAGCAGGAAAAGCGCAGGAGGATCGTGGAAACAAACTCTTTGCGAGGAATTTGCAATTCGCCGAGCGAGTAAGGGACAGAGGGAGGCCGGAAAGAGCACGCGGTGGGTCAAAGTTTGAGCTGGGGACTGGCATCGCAGCTGACGTCGCCAGATATTAAAAATAATCCTCGTCGCGCGTCGATCTTCGTGCGATTGAGTCGTCGAACCCAGCCGCTCTGCGCTGAGAGAAAAAAATCTGGAAAATAGTAAACATTTATTTGGTGAGGATGTATTAATAATATATAAATGCGAGCACTAAATATTTACTTAAATCTAAGTTTTTTCATTTAAATAGAATAAACGATTACTTTCAATAAAAGGCTAAGATTTTCTTAAGGTTTTTGAAAATGTATATTTTCTTATTTAAAAAATTTAAAATAAATAAAAAGTTGAGCGATTTTCTTAAAGAGTTTTCAAAAACATATATTTTTTTATAAGTTTTTTCATTTAAATAGAATTAACGATTATTTTCAATAAAAGGCTAAGATTTTCTTAAGGTTTTTGAAAATGTATATTTCCTTATTTAAAAAATTTAAAATAAATAAGTTGAGAAGTTTTCTTAAAGAGTTTTCAAAAACATATATTTTTTTATAAGTTTTTTCATTTAAATAGAATAAACGATTACTTTCAATAAAAGGCTAAGATTTTCTTAAGGTTTTTGAAAATATATATTTTCTTATTTAAAAAATTTAAAATAAATAAAAAATTAAGAGGTTTTCTTAAAGAGTTTTCGAAAACATATATTTTCTTATTTTAAAGATATTTTATGTGGCAGCTGAAACTACTTGGGTTAAAGGAATGAGATCAGAGGGTGGAGATGGGCTGTATCCAGGTTTCATAATAGCCCATATTTTCCGCAAAGTAATTATGTAAAATTTGGTCTTTATCATTAGAAAGGTTTAGGAATAAAGAACATACAGACCGATATTATGTTTTGTACATATTTTATTGAAAAAATAAAACTTTTTCTCACACATTATTAATGAACACATTATTGGGGTATAATCCAAAGTAATTTTTTGAAAGCTTTGAAAAACAGAGAAATATATATACTGCATTCAAGTAAATATTATTTATTTCTAGTTTTCTATTTTACAAGTTTATATATCTGCAAATCTATCATAAATTTTCATCACAAGCATTAAATTTATTCAAAATTCATTCTGAATTCTAGTAATTTCCGCATTTCAATCAAGAATATGAAATTGAAATAAAAATTCTGCTCTCTTATTACATGGAGCCGTGCCAACGTTTTCTTTGACAAAGCTTTACAATACTTTTGTAAAGAAAATGAATTAGAGATTTAGATAATGTAATGAACTATTTTAAAACTTGTGATGAATATATTTTAAGACTACCATGAAGAAATTTTTAATTTCGCCTTTTCGTCAGTAAAATGACTTTTTCTACGTATAGCTAAGACTTTACTGTATCTCCAGGAAAAAAAGTGCCTGAAAGTATTAATTTTTAACTGAGTTACGGTACTTTAAAATTACCCGGGTCTGCTCAGGGGATCTGCATTATATGTATGTCCCAAAAACAATGCTTGTACGCGAAGGGTTAAGATTCTGGTCGCGTGCGCCGCGTCGGACATGCCGCACTACAACATACCGTTGCCATTATCGAGATCATTATCGACATTAGGCGTCAGCAACATGTGGCATTATTACTGCCGCCGTGTAACGCAGTCTAATCGCCGTAATGTCGGCAGGGGACGTGGGAGGGGACGGGAAAAAGTTGCGTATAAATATCGAGTGAGAGACGAGCGAGCTTCCCCTCGAGGCGAAACATCACGTGCTTCGTGTGCCGGCCGATCCGATATGCTAACGTTACAGCATCGCCGGCGTTATCGTCGTCATTATCGTCATCGCGATGTTAGGGCAACGCCGCTATCATTATGCTCACGCGATACTCGATTTACGTGCCGATCGGTCTCTCTCTCGCTCTCCCTTTCTGCCTCCCTTCCTCCCTCTCTCTCTCTCGCTCTCGCTCTCCCTCTCTGCCTCCCTCCCTCTCTCTCTCTCTCACCCCTTCCTCTCTGACTCTCCTTCTACCCACGTCCACGTTGCCGGGACTTTTACGAGCCGCGGGCTCAAGAATTAAAAGGACGCTGCGCGAGGCGAACCGCAGGTATCACGTTGCCCGCATGAATATGTATGCCACGGTATGAATGTACATAAGGGAACCCCCGCGTGTCCTTGCTGCGTTACGTATTCACGAATTTATAAACGCGAGCACCGCGTGGTCGCGCGGGTCGCCGGGTCAATTCTTCGATGGGACTATTTACAGCGCGTCGATACTCCGCCTCGGGTGTGTTAAGTGGTTTAGTCCTTCTCAGACGAAAGGTACTTAGAGACTTCGCTTCTTTATCTCCCCCCCCCCTCCCCGCGGACAAACGCAGCGCTGAAGAACGACTGTTCTTCAGCTACCTGTGTCGCCCAACACATACAAAAAAATACGTACCGAAAGAAAAATATTTGGTATTTTTAACTACGATATAAATAATCACTAGAAAATATGTTCAAGAAAACTTGAAGAAAATCTTTATTAAATTTTATTATAACATGTAAATAATAATAACCTTATATGCACGTTACTATTGACACTTTCATGCCATAACAAGTAAAAAATATAATTGGGGTAAAAAATAACTATAATTTTAGTTTGATTTATCATTTTTTTCTGTCAGCGTGCATTCAAGTAAATGTTATTTGTTTCAAGTACTTTATAAGAGTTTATATATTCGCAAATCTATCACAAGTTTGTTATAAGCATACAATTTTTCTGCGTTTTAATGAATTTAGTATTTTAATCGAAAATGTTTCATTAAAACAAAAATTCAATTTTGCTTACATAGAATTGAACAAGCTTTTCTTTCGATGAAGTTCCATAATATTCTTGTGAAGAGAATAATATTCTTCTTTTCTCTATACATGATAATGAGCCTTTCCTCAAAAATTTGTGATGAGTATATTTTAAGACTATTATCAAGAAAATATTCTTTGTTAAAGATAACCATCATTTAGAAAAAGGAAAGTAAACTAAGTAATCGCTCTTCTTAGCAGTGGAATTATATTTTCCTGTGCGAGGACTTGAGAGAGAAATATCGAATATTCCGCTTTTAGTATCCAATTTTAATTTTCTAAAAGTATATTTGTATAAAATTGCGATATTTCGTCCATATAATTTTACATTTTGCTCGAGCTGCAAAATTATTCGACATAATTGCACGTTTCAGTGCGATTCTCTAATTTGCTTTATGCGGCGAAGCAATTTCACCTGCATTTCGGGAAAAAAAATGCGAGCAGGTCCGCCTCGAAAATAATTTTTCAGCAAACATCTTTGATAGATTTTTGCCATCGAAAATAGCTTACACGGGAAGAGCAGGGCCCGGCAGGGACGGCGAGGTAGGAGGGGGTTTAATTAAATTTGTTATTTTTATATAATGACGCCGGGTGTAAAAGGATTGAAAAATATATTCATCTCACACGAAACAACACGCTTATACATACATATGCGGCATGATAATAAACCCCCGAGAAATTTATGGACTTCATCATTTCGTTGAATCCAATCTGCATGTGGATTACGAAATATAAAACCGACGGAAAAACAAAAAAAAACTGGAAAGATCGATTTTCACGTGCCATACGCCAGCATGGATAACATAAATCGGCGGCCGTTGCACATCGAAATGTTTCGTCAGAAATCGCGGCACGCGTTTCGCCTCGTGTCAAATGCTATTTGCAACACACGTTATCCGCGCGAACGTGACAAAATTAGTGTATAGCGACAATCGAGTCAACGGATATAAATTTCGCCCGGCGCAAAACGTCGCGGAGTATTACGGATGACATTCACCGATTTTAAATACACACAGGCCGCGCCCGAAACCTCGATATCGAATCACGCATATTTGCACCGCTGCAGATTATTATTCGTTCGATTGCCAAAGCTTGTAAAAAAAATATACATGTGTATGTATGCATATATCGCATTTCCACGTACACCGCGACTCGTTGATGAATGCAAAAAAAGAGAGAGAGAGAGAGAAAGGAGGAAATCATCCCCATGATCATACATCCGACATCCGTATTTTTAATATGTGCAGCAATACGCGTCGTTAAATATCAGGTACCACAAATAATTCTGCGTTCAGTAATGCCACGCACGAAGTCGCACGCAAATCTCCATAAACATATTTTCGACTCGTGCTTTCCGCTCTTTCAAGCAATATTCGCGTTTCGAAATACTATTTGCGCGCAAATAACATATTTTGCGTGTTCTCAACAACGTCTGGGATTCGTCAGTCGGCCGCTAGCTCGACAATGTTCCTCGCTCTTCCAGCGGCAAAAATCGATCTGTTTCTTTGCGGGAATCCGCGAATTTCTCAAGATCTTTTTCTCCAGCTCAGACAATCTAAATTCCGATTAGAATAATCAAATTAGCCCTGAAATTGATCATCCTACTACAATACCAGTTAAGAATTCCATTCTTGTCTCAAACATAAGTTCTCTGTCTAGAATCAAAACAGAAATACTGTGGGAACTCGTAGGAAGCTTTTTTCTGGTTGGTACCCGTATGAAGATTTCCCAAATATCCTTTAAGTATAGCATAAATTCCGGTATAAATAAATCAGGTTGTCCAAACTTGTTCCAAATAAGTGCGATATCGACTGATTTTACAATCAAAGAAAAACATGGTGATGGCAACTATATAGATGATAACTATACGAGTTCTGCATGTAGAATTAATGTATATAGTTTATCAATTTTATAATTATTAGCTAAAGTTTTAGCTGTAAAAGTACAAAAAATAGCTTATTAAAAACTATACATATCATAATTCTATATACAGAACTCGTACATCTATATAGTTGAAATTACCAATATAGTTGCCGTTTTTCTCTGAGTGTATTTTGTATTACAACTATAGAAAATATTTTAGGATCCATTCCGATTTCCTAAATAATTGAAAGTGTGATTCTAAGAGGGAAACTCTAAAAAAAAAGTAAAAAAAGTTGCGTAAAAAGAATGAAAGGGGAAGATATGAGACGTAACGAATAATAAAATAATACTACTTTCATATTAATGATTTATGGAAAGATAAAGTTCGTTTCTTGTAAAATATAGGTTATTATATGGTCATTCTTATGATTTATAACTGTTAATAAACTATAAGTAATTACAAAATACCTAAGTATTGAATGTGATGTTAAAGTTTTGTATTTCAAGTAAAAATATAATATGCATTGTTTTATTCAAGACGGTTGTAATTTTT